TAAAAGGAAGATAATTTGGTAGAAGATGTTGCACTTTTATTCCCAGTAATACATTTCCCAATGGAAAAATTACAAAGACTCTTCAGGGACTTTGTCCAATAAGTTTGCTGAAAATCCAGGAATAACTGATCCTTTTTCTAATCTTATGGAATGGTGGTTTGGAAGATGAAAAGGGATAATTGTGGGAATGACCTTTACAATATGGGCATACTGTACACAAATTACTTTTACTTAACTTCGAAATCAAAAAGTCAATGTTATCTTAGCTTGTTTATAATGTAAACAAGTCTACTAGGCCTTGAGCTTCTTTTGTAACCTAAACATACATTCATGATCCTTACTTGCCCTTGACCCAGAACAATGCATGAATGTGTGTGTGTGTGTGTGTGTGGTGTGTGAAAGAGAGAGAGAGAGACAGACAGAGACACAGGAAGAGTCATGTTTTTCATATCAAGCAAGTACTGTAAACAGTGGATATTTCAGTATCTTTTGGAAGCAACAAAGATTATCCTATTTGTTTTGCAAACAACAAGAATTAAATTGATAACATCAGTTTGTGCTTATGGGTGCTGTTCTAAGTCATAGAAAAGGCAAAAATCCTCTAAGATAAGGGTCTACTTTTACTTCCCCATTTCATGCCGGATATACTCTTTCAATAAGAGAGGGAGACATTTGTTCAAGAGCATAGTTCCAAGAGAATTCTGAAGCAACAGGTTCTCAGGACAGTTTGGGTCCCCTCTTGGCTAAAATGGATGCTAAGAGTCAGGCTGTTCTTATTCAGGCATAGCTGTAATATGACATGGCATATTACTACCACTGATAATGACCTCAGTCCTGACCTCCCTTATTATAATCCTAGGAGTCATGATTACACTTGGATGTTGGGTAATCCCAAGCATACAAAGGTTAATTCAATGATTAATTGAAACACCAATAATTGACAAACTTCCTACATCTTGCCATACTCATGCCGTACTCATGAGTACCTTAGAACAGGAAAGTCAGACATGTTGAATTTGAAAAAAAGAATAAAATTCTATTGTAAAAGAGCAGTAAATATTGGGAAATATGAATGAAATGTACTGTTCTTTTTATGAAAGGGTTAAATGAGACAAAGCACGATCTTCAAAGAAGTTTGTAAAAATACCACCTGACAAAACTGCCCCCCTCAGTCAGCATTTTCTAAAGATTAAAGTGGTCACTCAAGGTTGCATCCTGCCCTCAAAAAAACTTCATTTTTCTTGTTTGAGTCAACCAAGTAAGAATGTGAAGCTAAGCTTTGACCACTAGGAGTGGCACAGGACCCCTTTGTGGTAGGAATAAAAACCCAGTGGGACTCAACTGAGTGTGCTTGCTTGCTAGATTTAGAGCAGCTTTGCACCCTTCTGCAGAAGTAAAACTTTCCACCTTACCAAAATACTTTGAATTGTGTCATCATTTTCTTGAGACCCCAGATCCATTTCTAGCCCTTTGGCAAATTAGCTCATAAAGAGGAGGGATTTACTTTGGCTCATAGTTTTGGTGGTCCCAGTCCACGATCAGTTGGTCCCATTGCTTTGGCCTGGGCAAGGCAGCACATCTGTAGCAAGTACTTATTGGAGAAAACTTTACCTCATAACAAGAGGTGAAAGAAAAAAAGAGGAAAGGGTGTGGCCTCATTATTCCTTCAAGGACATACTCTAAATAACTGGTGATGAGAAGACCTCTATGAGGCCCTGACAACATTTCAGTCAGTTTTCAATAGCACTTTTAAGGCTAAGCTATAGCCAAAGCTGTGGTGTAGATGCAAATGCCATATCTAATCCATCATCAGCTAGCTTTTCACTATAGACTGTGCTAAACTTCAGGCTGTATTTTATTAGTAAGCTATAAAGTTAGTTGTTGTGGGAAGAGAGTCCTACCTAGGGAATGAACTCAGAGCCTTGGGTATACTGTGGGAAATGTAAATGAAATGTACTGTCTTTTTCTATCAAAGGGTTAAATGAGACAAAGAAAGTACCTTCTTTAAAGAAATTTGTAAAAACACTACCTGGGAAAACTTCCTCAGCATTTTTATAAAATTAAATTTGTATTCAAGGTTGCATCCTGCTTCCAAAAGCTGCATTTTCTTTATTGGCTACATTTTTTAAATTAGTCAATCACATAAGAATGTGAGGCTGAGCTCTGACCTCTCAGAATGAAGCAAAGGACCTGTGATAGCTGATCTTGGGTGTCACCTTGACTGGATCTGGGGTCAACTGAAATTTAACTCAATCATTGCTCATGTGAGGGATTTCCCTTTTTTAATATTTTATTTATTATTTTTACTTTTTATATGTCTGACAGTATTGCTTGCATGTGTATAAGGTCACCTGTGGTATGCAATACCCACAAAGGTCAGAAGAGGGCATTGGATCTTCTGGAACTGGAGTTATAGATGGTTGTTAGCCACCATGTAGGTCCTAGGAACTGAACCTGGGTCCTCTGCAAGAGCAGCCAGTGCTCTTAACCACTGAGCCATCTCTCCAGCACCATGAGGGATTTTCTTGATCAGATAATTTGAAGCCAGAAGACCCATCCTAAAGTGGGTGGCACCCTTTGATGGCAGCCCTGATTAAAGGACATGGAAGGAAGCTTTTGTTTTTGCCTGCTTGCCTTCACTCTTGCCAGAGAGTTTATCTGTCCTATTGCTTTGCCATTCCTTTGCCAATATCAGAACCATCTTCTTCAGACTTCCAACATAGACTGAAGACCAGCAACTCTCCAGGAATCTTGCAGGCCTCTGGCACCAGATTGGGACTGCTGAGACATCTAGCCTCATGGATTGAGCAACTACCAGTTTCTTGGACTCTCCAGTGTGGAGCAGCCATTGTTAGACTACACAGGCCATATTCTGTAAGCCAATCTAATAAATCATATATAGTTTCTTAGAGAACCCGAAGTAATAGAGGATCCCTTTGTAATAGTAATGAAAACCGAGACCCCCCCCCACTCCTGTGTGTGCTTAGGTGCTTAATTTGGTAAGGCTTCACACCCAAAAGTAAAATTGTTTGCCTTGCCAAAATACTTTGCATTGTGCAATCATTTTCTTGAGACCTCAGACCTAATTCTTCCTTTCTTTAAAAAAAATTTTATTTTATGTGTATGAGTGTTTTGCCTGCCTGCATGTAAGTGCACATGCATTAGTTACTTTTCTGTTGCTCTGATAAAACACTGTGACCAAGGGAACTTATAGAAGGAAGAGTTTATTTAGCTATGGTTCCAGGTTCCAGAGGGATTAGAGGCTGTCATGGTGGGGAGGCATGGTGGTAAGAGGTGCCCAACAGAAAGAGGCACTCACATCTTCAAGCAGGCACAGGAAGCAGAGAGAAACTGAAAATCTGGCAAGGCTTAAGAATGCTAAGCCTTTCCCCCACCCAATGGTGTGCATCCTCCAGCATGGCCATACCTTCTAAGGCCTCCCAAAACACCACCACCAACTGGGACAAAATGTCCAAATACTTGGAGTCTATGGGGGACATTCTCATTAAAACCACCATAGCACCCATGTGTGCAGTGCACACAGGTCAGAAGATGGCGTTGGATCCCCTGGAATAGGAGTTACAGCCAGTTGTTAGCAGCCATGTGGATGCTAGGAGCTGAACTCAGGTCCTCAGCTCTTAACTGGGAGCAATGGTTCTAGCTCCCTGGATCTATTTGTAACAATACTACGCACATGCTCTAACACTACACTATACCCCTAATACCAATGAAATCAGTCTAGAGGGTTGTAGTAAACATTAAGAAAAATTAGCATAGAATAAAATAGAACTTTTAGTATTGTTTTGTGAAACTTATTTTCATTTATTTACACACAAATCTATTGAGTCATAATTGCACATTTCTTTCTTTCAACAGAATCTTGCCACTGAACCCAGGCTGACCTGGAACTCTTTTTGGAATGATAAAAATTTCTTGAAATGAGACATCCACATAGATGATGATTGTGAAACACTGTGAACATACCAAGTTCAGGGAATGTCACTTCAAAATAGGGTACTTCCAAATATTAATTAAAAGAATTTAGACAGTACAGAGTCAAGGAGTTTACTCCCTTTGCCTGCTGTGAATGGAAGTTCCCAGAAACTATGCATCTTCAAAATAGACTTTCTTCTGCAAGGCCGATTAACTGATTAGAGCTTGGGTGATTGTGGAGAGTCTGGAATGTTGCAGGTCCAGAGCCTAATTACCATTTATCTCAGGCTAGCTACACACTTGGGCAGAATCACATACTATTGTCTTCGATTTTAGTTCCATTCAATGTTATAAAAAGAGTAATTTACAACCCATTGTTCTGCAGATCCCAGTGGGCTTTGTCCTGGGTATTGAGAACTCATGAAAAATTGCATACATTCCCACTGTCCCTCTCCTGTGGATTTCTAGTGGGTCATCACACTCTTGTTGTTCTTTTTGTACAGTACTAGTAAGGGCTTTTGCCCTTAAATTGGTAAAAACTGAATTGTAAACTTTAGAACGGCTTATTTTGTATTTTCCATCCATATTTTGACTCAACACCCCTTCTCCTTCCCACTGCCCCCCCTTTCCATGCCCCCCCCCCACCGGCCCAGCAGTTTAGTGTAGTTCAGTATGTAGAGTTTAGTAGCACATGGATTACAATCCCAGTACTTGTGAAGTGTAGGCAGGAAGAGCAGAGAAGCTCAAAGTCATCCTAGGCAACGGAGCGGGTTGAGGACACCTGGGTTACTTAAGAGCCCTTCTCAAAAACATAAAACGAAACCACCTTAGATAGTAGCTAAGGCACTAAAACTCAAGGTGGACTTGGACTCATTCTTTTTCTGAACCTGTCCCACATCTTGTTTACATGGATACTCAGAGATAACTCTTGAGGCAGAAAAGCAGAAGGCAAGTCCACGTACAGGAGGGGACTGCATAGGCGGGGCCAGTCGCGGAGGGGCCTGGGTAAGGCGGGGCCTGGGCGGGGAGGGGCCTGTGTGGGGCCGGACCAAATCGCGGGAGGGTGGTGGTTGCCGGGAGAACTGGTGACAACAAAAGACGGGGGCGGCCGCTGGGCGGTGTGGGGCTGGGGAGCAAAGCCAGGGCATCCGGCCTTCACCTAGGAAGACCCGGTCTTTCCAGAGCGGGTCAGTGCGCCGGGAGAAGGCGGGCGGGCAGCGGAGCAGCGCCGGTCCGGAGGCGGGCTGGCGGGCTGGCGGGCAGGCGTCGCGGCCTCGAGGGGTGGCTCCGGAAGTTGAGGCGGCTCTGTGCCTGCGGAGCGAAGCCGGCTCCGGAGGTCGGAAGGCTGGGCTCCGGGCCTGGGATGTCCGCCTGCGTCGGGTCCGGGTGCTGGCGTGTGCGGAGGACGGGAGGGCTTCCCTGGGGTAGGAGGCCTCTCTGTCCCTCTGAACATTAGTGCGCTCCAGCTCCGTGGGAATCCCGGTTCCCCGTGGTGGCTGTTCGGGACGGATGCACATGGAGCGTTGAGGGAGGAAGAGGGCACCCAGCTAGCCAGCCAGATCTGCCTAATCAACCCTGCCTATCAATGGGGTGACAGATGTCACAGCCAGATTGCCCTCACATCCAGGAAGCTGTATTTGAAACACAGAAAACATGGGCATTGTATTTTAACTCTAACAGTTAAAAGCTCTAATCAGTTAATCAGCCTTGCAGAAGAAAGACTATTCTGGGAACTTCCATTCACAGCAGGCAAAGGGAGTAAACTCCCTGACTCTGTACTGTCTAAGTTCTTTTAATTAATATTTGGAAGTACCCTATACAGGCCAGACAGACATTTCTGTGTTCTCTATATTTGCTAAAAATTTAAGTAATTATAATAGGCAATCGGAAACTGTTTAAAAAGGATTGATTTCTCATTTGGGACAGCAAAGCAATGAAAAAGCTTGATGGATTTTTTCAAGTACTTTGTCTGCATCCTGTTTTTATCTCCTTTTGGGTTACCTGTTTACCTTTGTAGTAATTATTAATCGTAATGACTACCTACATTTTTATCCCTCTTTAAAGCCGAAAGCATAGAGATGTAGTGTCCCAAATACATATAAAATAGTTCTAGCGTTTCAAAAAGTGGAGATTGTTATGTAGACTTAGGTTAAGCTGTTTAAGAGCCAAACACCAGAGGGGAAAATGTCACATGGGAAATTTTAATATAATATGGGATCGTTTCTCGCTCTACTTTTTACTCTAAAATAGGCCACAGCAATCTTTTCCTTTGATACAGAATTTTTTTCCTTGGAGAGAAAGAAGAGGCGAGGTTATGAGTGGGAGGTTTTGAATAATTACTCAAAATTTATCTTTGGTTCTGACACAACCTTTAAAATTGTCCTAATTTTATATTCTTTTAATATCTCTAATTTTGATAAATTAAAAAAATTTTAAATTTTCAATTTCACAATTTTTTTAGATATTTTTCTTTTTAGATTTGTGTGTGTGTGAGAGAGAGAGGGAGAGAGAGAGACAGCCTCTCTGCATACCGTAGGGAATTATCTTGATTACATTGATGTGAGAAGACCCATTTCATTATTTTTATTTTGTGTGTGTGTGTGTGCACGTGTGTGTGTGTGTGTGTGTTCCTGTGTGCATGCATGCCCACATGTGGAGGTCAAAGGATATCTTGTGAGAGTATGTTTTCTCCTTTTATCTTGTGGTTTCCAGGGATCAAACTCAAGGTTGATGGCAAACACCTTTATCCACAGAACCATTTTGCTTGCCCAGAAGACCCATCTTAATTTTGGGTGGGCCTGTTCCCTGGGCAGGGGATCCTGGCCTATATAAGATGTAGAAGGCAAGCTGACCACTAGCTTGTATACATTCACTTCTTTTATCTCCTGTTGCTTAGACTACCTTGTCTTGATGGGCATACCTTGAGCTGTGATCTAAAATAAGCGCTCTTTCCTTTAAGTTACTTCTGTTAGTGTGTTTTAATCAGAACAGCAAGAAAAGAAACTAAGGAAATAACATTTGGGAGTGGAAGGGACATTTTCCTGTTTTGATTTTTTTGTTTGTTTTTTTCAGACAGGGTCTCCCTGTAGCCCCAGCTGTCCTGGAACTCACTATGTAGACCAGGCTGGCCTTGAACTCACAGAGATCTGCCTGCCTCTGCCTCCTGAGTGCTGGGAACAAGGGCATGTGCCACTCCCGGCTTTGTTTTGATTTTTAACTTAAATTTGTTTATATGTGTGTATGTGTAGGTGCACACATGCCATGGTGCACTTGTGAAGGTCAGAGTTTGTGGGATTGGTTTTTCTCCTTCCACGAGTGCACATAGTCCATGGATTGAACTCAGGTTGTCAGGTTTCCACAGCAAGCAGTCTATAGTTCTGATAGTTTTTGAATTAATAATTTATTTTAAATTATTTTGCCATTTAGCCAGGCGTGGTGGCACATGGCTTTAATCACAACTCTTGGGAGGCAGAAGCCAGCCAGTGAGTTCCAGGCCAGCTGGGGCTATAGGGAAACCCTGTCTCAAAAAGACCAAAAAAAAAAAAAATTATACTGACTTTGAAATCCTTCAAACTTTACACAGATTTAATTCTGATGTTTGTGGGAAAGGTGAAATTTATTTCTTATTTTGCTATGCAGGAGTCCAGATCTTACAAAAAGTGAGTATTGTGCACACTATTAATGAACATTAAGCAAATAATCTATTCAGTAAAATCTAAGCTGCCATGGAAGAAATACCAGTAAAAGTTACTGTAAGAATTAGACCTCTGCTCTTTTTTTCAATAAATAGCTACAAATCTACTACAAATGTTTATAATTAACATTTGTTTAAGTTCCTGTTATTTCCTTGTCTGAATTTTCTTTAAATTTTTTAAAAAAGTATATATTTTTTTAATTTTAATTTTATGTGTATGAGTGTATTGTCTGCATGTATGTGGGTGCACCCATGTCGTGCATTGCTGCAGAGGTCAGAAGAGGGCTTCGGATTCCCCTGGAACTGGAGTTAAGGACTGTTCATAGCCACCATGTGGGTGCTGGGAATCGAACTCAGGTCCTCTGCAAGAGCAATCAGTGCTCTTAACCACTGAGCCATCT